TTGATGATGGGGTTGGATAATTTAATTATGGACCATTGGTATGAATTAATTATAGGATTAAAGGATGTGTATGAATGTTGAATTGAATTGAAAACTTTGGGGTATGCTTCTTGAAGAATTCAAATTATAAGAAAAAGTAAGGAAAAATTGATGGGAAATTATGGTTTAATCAATGGTTGATGTTTAATGCATAATTATTGAGTAGGTGAGTAAGTTTGATGATTCATGTGGTTGAGATAGTTGAATAAATTGTGAGAGGGCCATTAGGCCTAAGTGGCTAAAATTGGTTATAAGTCTTGTGAAATTGATGAATTGTTTGCAATTGATTGATGGTCATTGTTGTTGATCATTTAGGTTGCCTCTCACGGAACCAATAGAGGAGAACTTGGAGCGTACGTTTTGGAACATTACTCTTGGAGTTGAGGTAAACCTTTGGAACTTGGATTTTAATCCCTTGTGTGCTCCACCACACCTAGTGGGACGTTGTGGTTGGATTTTGTGCTTTTGACATTGTGTAAATATGTATGTTCATGCATTATTGCTTGATTGTGTGACATGCTTGGAGCATGTTGTGTGTGAAATTTTGTGATCTCTGGCCAGTAGATGTGTGTGGTTTGGACTTCCGCTGGAGATATCCTTTGGGGATTCCGGTCGGGTTTTGCCGCGGGGCAGACTCTGGAAGCGGCACCAGGATGATCCAAACGTGGGACTTCCGCTGGATAAGGCTCATGAGAAGTTCCAGTTGGGTTTTGCCATAGGATCGTCTCATCCATGGGAGAGGCACCAGGAAGCTTCCCGGGAGTTATATGATGGGGTCCTTGAACGGAATCCTTATGTGGATGTTCTTGGATTTGTGCCCAGTTGCTGTGATTTTGTATGTTATGCATTTTACATGATGTTATTTGTTGCATATTGAGTGAGCCATGAGGTGGAGTGATCCTCTAGTACCCTTGGTTTACTGAGATATATTTGTATATCGAACCCTGCGTTTGGAGACATCATTTCAGGTTATAGTGAGCATGGAGGACCATCGGGCAAGAGGCCCGCTTAGTGGAGGAGTTGGATCATGATGTGCATATGGAGAGCATGGAATTTTGGAGGAGTTTATTGATGCACATAGTATGACATTTAGCATTTTGGACTTAGATCATGAACATATTGCATGTTGAGATTTCCATGCTTTTGTGGTGTTCATGACTAGATTCTAAGTCTATGTAGTTGATGTACATTCATGCCTCTTGTTTATACTTGTATTTTGGTGAGCATGGGACTTGTCCATGGCCACATATTTTGTGTTTGAGGCATTTGGAGTCTTATGATGTAAAGTGACCATTTGATGTTTAAAATGGCCTTGGAATTGAGAAATATTGTAATTGATGCATTATATAATGAATATGAATGATGGAAGGGCCTAGAGTGAAAGAAAGAGCCTTGAAGGCCGTAGGCATGTGAGGATGAAAACAAAATTATTTTCAAAGCGGAAACACACATACCAATCAAGATACATACTCTAGGACAGAGAGATACCTTGTTCGTAACTCAAAACTCGAAGGTGATCAGTGTTAGGCTTGAAGGTTCAAACCCTCTAATGTTGATCCACACCACCCTTTGTCAAGACGCAAGAACTCTTCTTGAAAAGCCACCAATTCGAACACCACAAAGGAGCAAGCTAGGCATCCCTTGTGAAGAGGTAGGAGGCTCGGTTTCAATAATGTTTAGATGAGAGAATTTTCAGGAATAAAACTCACACAAAGTGTCGCACAAATTGTAGAAGAGAATGGCCTTTTATTTTCCAAAAACCCTTAGGAGAATATCACAAAAAGGAAAACCTTAAGGAGATGAAAGAGGAATAAATTTGAATCAGATTTTTCACCAAAAATCTGATCATGGAGCGCCCCTTTTGTGGAGGAAAGAGTGGAGTTGTTGCAAATCAAATCTAGTCAACAAACTCCTATCCTTTCCTCTTAAAACTAAGTCTGTACCTAGTCAATATTCTCACCTAATAACCATTATATGATTAGCCATATTGTGCGCCCCAATTAGCCCAAAATCATTCCAAAAATATTGATTAGTTGCAATTCAAATTGAATCAACTAAATCAAATATTTCCACAACTAACCAAATCTGAATGGACCTTTATTTGTTGATTAAATGACCATCATTAAGTCACCAAATCAGCACCCCAATCATCTTTGATGATGTCCAAAGATCTCCTCTTGATACTTGGGATTTGATCTTGACAAGATACTATCAAGATCTTATTCTTTCCTTTTGTTATGAAACTTCCTTTCATAGCCAATTCAAATTTGAACATTCTAATTTCAATATTCAAATATTTAAATTCAAAATTCAAATTCATAATTTAAATTTTAAATTTAAACATTAGATAATTAATTTAACTAATTAAATTAATTAATAATGTCTTGGACCATCCAAGCCCATTACAACAACCCATGCGCCCTTTTCCCTCTAAGGCGGGCATCCAAACTTCTTCTTGGGCTAACAACCATTATTAGGTCCAAAACCTTTCATGCTATAATGTCAAGACAATAAGGTGTTAGTGTGTGATCCATTAGGCCCAACTTAGCCACTGACATAAATGGGCTTGGGCCTAATAAGACCACGACCCATTTAATGACAACACAGAGCACTAGCAATGCTTTGTTTCCCCAGAGCTAGTTAGGTTAATGACATGATCATCCTATTAAATGTATTTGGTTACCGTATGTATTTCCTTTCGTCTCGGTTACCTTCCCATTAAACCTATGGTGAGGAGATGTATCAACCCTTGCGGTTTAGGGTAAGCTTTAATTCGAAATAGGGAATCTTCAATTTACTGACTCTAAAGGCAGATCATCTCATGATCTCTTTTAATATGCATAGATTCCCGAGTCCTGTAAATGTAATCCTGATTTCTTCGGTTTACAGATAACCTAATCCCCATAGAGATTTGACGAACTCCTTCAGCTTATCACCCTAGGCTTGTATTCTTTCAGGACACGCCCAAAGGTATACCTATGAATCTCCATATTCCAGGAGACGAGGTACACAATCAAAACATGCATCTAGAACATAGTCTAGGTGAAAACTTCTGGTCTAAGAAAAGACATACCCAAATAATAAGAGGCTGCTCTAATGATACTATTTATGAGATTTCCTCATAGAGCCTCTTTGTGGGTCTGTTCAGTGTGAGCTATACCTTTATAGGTTCACTCACGACTTTAGCTAAGACATCTCCATATTTGTAGCTCATGAGGTCTTTACCTTGTGTCTGAATACAAGTAGATAAGCCGTGCTAGTGATCCCCATTCTCAGTGTCTCTAGACTAGGAAGATAAAATTAGGAATAAACATCCGGTATCCTTGAATCCTCATGATCGTGATCTCATCACAGATACTCAAGAGATACCTATTCTATTCCAAGGGGTTTATCCAGTTACTCATATAATATATAAACAATGATATTGAGACGAAATATGAAACAGGATAAAGAGTGCTTATGGTTCATTTGCGACAATATAAAAGGCACACAAATGTCCTAATCTAATCAAAAGATTGTCTCTAGGACATCCATATACTAACATAGAGCCTACATTAATCTTGGGTAAGTGGTATAATGAGTATTAAGGTGTTAGGAGTGGATTACATCACCCTTGTTGTGTTTTAAAAGCTGTCAAAATGTGTTTCTGCTGTAAAGGAATCGATTCCCAACATCACAGTGGCTGAATTTTACGTCCTCTGCTCCAGGGAATCGATTCCCTTTGGGTGGGAATCGATTCCTCAAAATAGAGGAGTCAAATTTTGGCTACTGTCTGTTACTGTAGCTGCTGGGAATCGATTCCCAGCCAGGAATCGATTCCCACTGTACAAAATTTTGAAGATGAGTCATTTACAACTTAGATTAAATGGTATTACTTGTAGGGCTTGTAATTAATAAGTTTTATGCTTCCGCGAGTTTTGTTTACAATTACAATGTTGCTTTAATTGATTATATAATGGTTGATATTTAAAGTTAAGGATTTAATAAAAGAAAAAAGTTTACCCGTAATTTAATTAACTCAATTACTATGATTGTAACTGCGTTTAATACCATATGCAATGTTAACATTTCTGGTATGTAACAGGTTGTTACAGTTAGTCACTGGCCACCAATAATGGCTAATGGAATTAGTTAGTAGATGTATATTTTAGATTTACGCTTATGCAATATCTCAAGTGAACGCATTTGGAAATATTTTTAGAAAATATTTTGGAAAAAATTAACTCATATTTTTGTAAGACGATTTCATATTTAATAAAATAAAGTCTTCCACTGTGTACGCTACAATATCATGTATGTTAACAACCGAAGTACTACGGGATGTTACAATCTCTATGGATTTACCTCCTTCATCCTTATCTAATGAGCAAGATGTACCCATAGGAGTGTCAATGGCCTTGGAGTTGTTCATTCCAAACTTTTTAAGAAACTCCTTACAATATTTAGCTTGATTGATGAATATCCCATCCATTTGTTGCTTTATTTGGAGGCTAAGGAAGAACTTGAGCTCTCCCATTATGGAGATCTCGAATTCACTTTGCATAAGACTCACAAACTCTTTATAGAGATTAACATTAGTTGTAACACCCTCTCTTGTAGGCCTCCAAGAGAGTTGTTTGCTAAGCGGAATTAGAGTTCTTTAATAGTATTTTAGAGACTGAAAAAAATGATTTTTTACAAGGCCAATTAAAAACTTATAATTGAAATCGGGTTCCTTACAAAAATTAGAGTACGCAAAATTTCTTAACTTACTAAAAATATAAATTTCCTCACAGACCTTGCTGCCTTTAAAAATTCGTATAAAATCCATTTCAACGATTCAAAAAAATATTCTTTGTAATCTAGAAACTAGACATCTGGGACTTCACGTTCATATAAAATAATAGTGATTTGGAGTTCGTTTACCCCTCGAAACATAACTCGTAAAATAAGAGATAAAACAGTGAAAATATCACAAACGTCCTGGCTGGTAAAATTTATAATAAATCGAGCTTTCAGAATTTCTTTACAAGGTTTATCTATAATGAAACTAGACACCTGGGGCTACGCGTGCATATAAATTATAAGAAAATCGGAGGTCCGTAGCCCCAGTACGACAACTTACAAAGTGCTCGCAAAGACTTTTCAAAACTCAGCATTTAGATAACATGCCAAAAGCCTTTTCGCAAACGTTTCAACATCTGTTTCCATAATACTTGCTGGTCATAAAATCGTAATGCAATAATAAAATCATAGTTCACAGTAATAAAAGCTTCTCAATTTCATACAGTCATCCATAAAATATCACATCAATAGCAGCATGCCCAAAACAGTAGAAGCCAACAGCAAATATCCAAGTCCTCAAAAGCTTTTACGTCATCCTGCCATTTTGTAAAAATAGCAGCCCCAAAGGGGTGAGAGAAATCCCAGTAGTGTGACAACAAAACCAATAATGCAACAGTATTAAACTAGGCACAAAATTATAAACAGTCGCTTCAAACATGAAATCCTTTTCATCATATAACCTTTTCATCATATATCATATTGCGTATATAACGCCTTCATCACGCTCATAGCACCGTTGTGCGCGTGCATACACAGTGGGAATTCCATGCAACGGCACCCTCATTTATTGAATCCCACTGTGACCTATGCAGACGGATGCCAAGTGTCCCATACCCTGGTACCGAGGGATGCCTATATGATGCGTGCTCAATCACATGATCCTGTAGATAACTATTCTAAGACTCAAGCCTAACATGAATTTGGTACATGCATGCCATGCTATGCTGTCACACACAAACAGAAAGACAAGTGCGGTATGATGTACGGTGCATGCATATATCATCATTTCATAACATACACTTCATGTACATTGGATGCCATACTGCCAAGCCATTCTTTCTTTTCATAACAGAATTTCCATAATCATAACATTTTCATAGGCAGAATAATTTCATCATTTATGGCAGAATAATCATAAGGCACATGTGAGCAACAATTCACAATTCATATACACTAGTCAATAGTCACATCAGGTAATACCGCCTAACACATACCTCACTTGTCACAATTAAATTACCAGGCAGCAGCGACAAGTCCACAAACTCACGAAATACATGCACCTAAATGACGTAAGTCAGGTTAGAAGATAATCACGTATTTCCTATAGTTTACAAATAATTCTCATGCCTCTTAGTCCTCGTTTATAATCGGTTCTTGTGGTTCTCTCACTAGATAAGTTTTCTGGTCTAAAGTTACATTACCAAATATTATCAAAAGACAGAACCAAGGTTATTTATTCAAGTGGTTCGGTTTTGACCATTAACAAAGGTTTCCAAGTTCTCATTATGCCACCTTACTCATGCGGCCAAGGAATGCGCTCTCAAGACCACAATTTTTTGTTCTTAAGGTTAATTGACACATGCAAGCTAGTTTATCATCCAAGTCCAAAGGCAGTCCGTACAAGGCAGTGAGCTAGCTCCCAAAGCTCCAAAACCGGTCCTTTGAGCTTAATTTCATTAAAGGTTTGAGGTTGTCTTAAGGAAACAGAGGTGGGGACAAAGAGAACAATAAAATGACATTATCCTAGGATGCATACAAAGCCGAAACAGAGAGGGATGAGAGGGCTAGGTTCATGCCATGATGCCCTCTTTGTATGCGATCAAGAGTCCAACCAAAACAGCCCCACAATTTTATAAAATGGTTATACTCCAAGTTCCTAAAATCTGTTTTTAGACATGCATGCACATTAGTTCACGGTTTAAAACAGAATTAGAGAAATGATTACAAAGAAAACAGATTTTATTCCCTATGAATTTTATGCCAACCGAAACCATGTGGAGTGGAAAGAAAGTTTGGAGCTCATCTTACAGGTTCCTTTTTGAGTTTTCAGCCCTATGTTCAAGAGGTCCAATAGAGCAGAGACAAGGGAAGGATCATAATTACAACTAACCTCTTAAATGTGTTTGCAAATCGAAAAGGAAAAGAAAGAAAGGAGGAGTGGAATTCGAGTTACCTCCTTGGCTGCACACCAATGATCCTAGCCGAAACAGAAACAGCCTGCCACTCATTCCTAACTCCCAAGGGCCGAATCCGGCTGCATGCAAGGGTGAGGATGGACTCAATCTGCGCTGGTTCAAGGGCATGCAACGGAAGGAAAAGAAAACGAACTCATTTAGAGTCATCCGAAAAGAAAGAAACAAGAAGTGAGACAACATTCGATCACCTTGCTTGTAATGTACAGCCGAACATGGAAAGAGGGAACAATGGCAGTAGCGAGAATGCTTCCCCCTTGCTTCTAAGTGCACGATTTAGTTAAGGGAAGAGGAAAATGGAATTGGATCCTGAGTCCCTCTCTCTTGAGGAATCCACGGTTTAGGAGGAGATTGGGATAACAATGTTTTCTGTTTTTATTTAACGGTTTGCAGGCTCATCTTTTCTGTTTTGTTCTCTAACCTACACATAAGGAGATGGTGAGGAATGATGACTAACTTTTTGTTTTCTTTCACGCTGCTTGGAAAATGGAATGGGATCAGTTTGGGTCATGGATAAATCGATCCCTTGTTCAAGGGAGTCTTTAGCCGAGACATATCATGAAGGGCTCAAGGATTTTTCTCAGCTTAGTTGTGGAACATGCAAGAGGAGAGGGGAGATTTTGTTTGACACATGCTCAATATTCATTGGCTAGTTGGGTTTGGAGGATAAGACATGAAATCAGAATTGTTTACTCCATCTTATGCGCATGAAGGGATAAAAGGAACAAGTGGTTGATTCTAGACCAAATATAGGCTGACATGTAGGTTTTGTTTGGGATAAGATAAATAATCATGTGGAGAAAGTATTTAGAGCTGATTTAGACCTTAAATTTGGGGCTTGGGCCGTGGCCCTTAATGGGAATGAGTTCAAAATATATAAGTCCCATTGTTCTCCTATTTTGAGAATTAACCCTTGCCTTGTTATTTTATGTACCTCCAATGGTTATCTAAAGGTTTATTCTATGTAATAAAATTACTTGCATACCTTTAATGAGTACTCATATAATTATAAGTAAAGTTATGCCTTCTATGTGTTATAACTAAATTATCCCCATACTCATAACTAGAATTTCTCATGCATAAAATAGGTACTCACCTTCCATGGTAATACAAATAATTCCCTAATTTAATTTAACTTTGACCTAAAGTAAACATTTATATAATCCGAAGGCAAGTACTCTACCACATTCCTAATTGCAATTTAACTAAATTCCTAATTAGACGGGATGTTACATTAGTGGCACCAAAAATGATATCATCAGCATAGATTTGTGCAAATAATAAGTCATCATTTTTCTTCTTTATAAAAAGAGTTGTGTTAACATTTCCTCTTGAAAAACCTTTTTCTAAAAGAAATTTGCTTAATCTTTAATACCTTGAGCTTGTTTCAAATCATACAAGGCCTTTTTGATTTTAAAAATATGGTTAGGAAAATCATGACCTTTAAAACTGGGAGGTTGATCAACATATACTTCTTGAATATATCCATTTAAAATTGCACTTTTGACATCCATTTGAAAAAGTTTGAAATCCATTATACATGCAAACACAAGTAATAGTCTAATAGATTCTAATCTAGCAACGAGAGCATATGTTTCATCATAATCAATATCTTCTTCTTGATTATATCCTTTAGCAACACGTCTAGCTTTATTTCTAGTTAATATACCATTTTCATCAAGCTTGTTCCTAAAGACCCATTTGATACCAATTATTAGATAATCATTTGGTTTTGGAATAGTTCTCAAACTTGATTTCTTTCAAATTGATTTAGTTCTTATTGCATTACTGTTGGGTGTGAACTTATTGGTTGTTTAAAATATTCTTATAAAGGACGTTCCCTTACTTCAGTTCATCAAGAGAAAATACATTTGTTCTCTTGACTTCAACCAAGTGCGTAAGTGCACACATCAAGTAATAAATGGGACTATTAGAGTAATTGATCTGTTTGGTCAAACGTTCCCTGCTGTCTTGACAACATTCCTCAAGAACAGTAGGTTCAATCTGAAACAAACAGCTCCTCGCGTCGTTATATATGAAATCCTTCTTGATGAGAGAAGGAACGACAATATTCATTGGAGATTCATAGATACAAGATTGAATAAAGAAATAATAATAGCAATAATAATATTTAAGAGACAACAATATGGAATGATAAAATAGTTTTTAACACAAGGAACGGATCCACTGTTCCATTCTTAAATAGCTATATTCTCCACTCAAGACTTAACCCTTTTGGCTTTGATCAGGTCTTTTCACTGCCAACTCTGATTCCTCAGCTCATGGATTAAATGGCTCACAAGTTTCCATATTCCTATGGCTCCCTTGACTCCAACAGTTACTAAGCACAGGACCTTTAGTGAACGAGGTGGTCCCTTATTCCTAAGGCAACCACCAGTGTTGTATCCACAACACTGCCTTTCCCCTCTGATTAAGCTGTCTGAAATCCTTTCCTTATAGAAGTTCATTTCTCAGTATGCGTTCAATTTCCATTGATACGCAATGAATATAGCACAACCAGAGAAATACAAAAGCTTCAGTACAAGAGTTTTGAAAATAGTTCTTTAAGAACTTCACAGTTTCTCCGTTCCACAAATAACTTAGCCCATGGCTAATAATATAAACGTAATTATTCCAAACTGAAATCCCATAGACCCGAGATTCAGTTCAGAGATAACGAATGGAAACGAAGAGAAATAACACGTTATATTAATCAGAAACAAGTTAGGTTACAATGAAATGAAAATGGAGAAGTATGGTTGTTGCTCATGAGGAGTCTCAAGTGGGTGATACAGAATAGAGAAGAAGTTGTTGTCACTTAACTATTGCTAAAACTATACAACTGAAATATAAAAAACTACAAAATAAACTGAGTGATCTCTTCTTAAGGAATTCGATGATCTTCTTCGTGCTGGAACGTCCTATTTATAGGCAGAAGAGTGTGTGGCAAAACTTGTAATTTCCCTTTAGTTGTTTTCTTGACTGCATGAAAGGGGCAGTGTGAACAGTGCTCAGAGGGACGCAAGTTGCTGGATGAGACACTTATTGTTGAGATTTGCCTTTTCTTCTGCAGTTCCTCATGCCTTGCTTTCCTCTTATCCAATAGGGACTCTTTGTTCTCTGTTGCGCATGTTTCTTCCTTCTTGATTGCTGCACCTTTTATGCTCTATGGAAGCTTCTTTTCAATGTTACTTGCAAAGTGTACAGAGAGATTGAGTTAGTGGAGCAGGTGTAAGCACGTGCTCCCCCATTCCGTTCCCTTTTTTCTACTTTTCTCAAAAGATTACATCATCATCCGTTCCCCTACTGTGTTTTTGTCACAAAGATATAAACACGTGTTTTTAATGCTAAAGTTGCTCATCAGATGGGAGAACAGATGGTATTTTGCCATTAAAATGGGCTTAGATGGGAACGAATTCTCGTCCCATCAATTACCAAGAATCAATGTTCATCAATAATTGCTTCAGTTATGGTTTTAGGCTCAATTTGAGAGACAAATACTAAATGAATACAAATATTTCTTAGGAGTTTCTAGTAATTACCCCCTAGTTATATCACTAATTACCACATCAATGGGGTGTCATTTAGCTACTCTCCAATCTTGTGGTAGGTTGCTTCCATCATTGGTTTTTTGACTTGGTCCTTTTTCATTGCTTGCTTCCTTTTCTTTTTGCCTTTCATCTTCCTTTTTTCCATCCAAGTTTATGTTCTCCATGCTTTCTATAAGATCATCATCACAAAGTTCTTTTTTTAGGCAATGCATTGTTAGTCTCATTAAATACAACATGAATAGACTTCAATTACCATTGTTTTCTTATTATAGACTCTATAAGCTCTACTTGTGAGTGAATAACCTAGAAATATGCCCTCATCGGCTTTAGAATCGAATTTGCCAAGGTTTTGTTTTCTATTGTTTAAAACAAAATATTTACAACCAAAGGCATGAAAATATGAAATATTGGATTTTCTTCCTTTGTAAAGTTCATAGGGGGTTTTTCTTTAAAATAGGCCTAATCAAGGCACGGTTCATAACATAGCAAGCGGTGCCTACGGCTTCCGCCCAAAAATATTTTGGAAGATCATTTTCATTTAACATGATTCTAGCAAGTTCTTCCAAAATATGAATTGTATGAGTGTGACATGCATGTGAATTGGTTGATGATTCAAGTTTAAATGGATTGTATGAGTGTGACATGCATGTGAGTTGAGAGAAAAATCCCTTGTCTTGGTGTTTATGTGCATTCTTTCCATATAGGGGAATTAAGGGTGAAAATGTTCAATTAGATGTTTGGTTTGATGAATTGAGCTGTTGAGTGTTTGGATGAACTAGTGTGAGCCTAAATGAGTGCCTTGAACCTTAAAAATACAAGAACCTTCCCTAGCCACATAGATGGCAAAAATTTAGCCATATTGGAGTTTTTTTTGGGGAAATTGTGCTAAGTTATGAATTGATGCAATTGTGGGATGTTTATGGTGTTGTGGTTGGCTAAGGAAACCATTGGAATGATTGTATAAAATTAACAACATGAATTTTGTAAAATGGCCGTAATGGCCTAATTGGGTACATTTTGGGAGGAGAGTGCATTGTTTGAATTGTGCTTGTTTAACAAGTGGATTGATGATCATATGTTGTGATCATTGTAGGTTGCCTACCTCGGACAAAATCCTAGAAGATTAAAAATTGGAGCCTATGGATTGCCTTTGGTCCTTGATCAAAAGGATATTGGTAAGTGATTGCTTACTTGTATGCATGATTGATTGGATGACCAAACGGATTGTCATTGTGGCACTAAATGATGTTGAAATAACCACTTGTGCAGGCATTTCTTTGTTGAAGAAAGTTGTGAGGTAACTTGTGATTGAAGCAACCTAGCTTGGGAGCTTCAAAGAGGTATTCCCTTGGTACTGGGGTTAATCATCGTGTGCATTGTTGTTAAAAACTAGTGTAAAAACGTAAAAATTTACGTTTTTACGTTTTACGTTTTTACTAAGGTGATACGTCTTAAAACGCAAGTAAAAACTCTCCTTAGTAAAAACTGGTAAAAACTACGTGTAAAAACGTAAAAACGGTAGAAACACAAGTTTCTACGTTTTCACTTAAACCAAAAAATCAAACCAGGTTAAATTTTAACCCATGAGTGGTTTTATTTTTATATTTTTAATAAACTAAAATAAAAAAATCTATTTCCATTTCCCCAAATCAAATGCAGAGTATCTTCTTGTAGCTATTTGAAAAGATCCATCCTCACGTGAGGCCGCTATATTTCCATTTAAGAGTTGTTAAACATTATTCTTTTGATGTTGTGGAACTTGGTTATAGGCATTGTTAAACTCTTTTTGTGTTTTTGGACTTATGTCTTATATAGTTACATGACGTACATCTTTTAGATATAAAGTTATTCATTGAGTTTTGTAACAGCCTGTTGTACACTGGTATTGATAACATTGATTACGATATTAAGCGCAGTTACAATCACAGCAATGTATTTATAAAAATACGAGTAAACTTTTTCTTTTTTATTACGCGAGCGTTTAAAACAATAATAAAGCGTAATAAATAAAGTTGTGACTGTAACCGAAAACCAATTGCAAAATAATTAAAACAACTGCATAAATATCATATTATACTCCTCTCAAGTCACTAAGGGGTTCCTATAAACCCACTTAGCTTAAATCTCACTTTTTTGGTTTTCTACC